CACGATCACATCTCCCTTGACTGATCTAACTCGACTTGATACGCCATGGGACTGGACCGACGAGTGTGAGGCCGCGTTCAAGCGTTTGAAGCATGCACTCACGCACCATTAAGTTCTCATGGTACCCGACCCGCAAAGGCCGTTTGTTGTAACCACTGATGCAAGTCAATACGGCATTGGCACAGTGCTGGCTCAACAGGAAGGGAAAAAGTTGAGATCGGTCGAGTAAATGAGCAAAAAGATGCCATCAAAGAAGTTGGCAAAGTCCACCTGCGAGAGGGAACTCTATGCCCTCTACAAGGCACTTGTCCACTGGAGGCACTACCTATTAGGAAGGTTCTTTTATTTAAGAACTGACCATCAGACCTTCAAGTGGATCATGACACAACCAGTTCTCTCCGATGCACTCAAACGGTGGATTGAAGTCATAAATCAATATGACTTCAAACTAGACTATGCGAAAGGAGAGTACAACAAGGTTGCACATGCGCTGTCTCGCAGGGCAGATTATCTAGGTGTGCCGATTTCTGAGTTTGGCCTTTCTGAGGACGTTACTCGATCCTTGGGGGAAGCCTACAAGGAAGACCCTATCATGATGGACATCATCAACAAACTGAAGGCCAAAGACAAGGCTACCACTGAGGAGTTTGTGATGGTGGATGGGTTACTCTTTCTTGAGAAAGCAGGATTCAAAAGGTTAGTTGTTCCATCTAGGGAGATTTTGCGTAGTTTATTTTTAGGTTGAGTGCCATGACACAACATGACATTTTGGCTATAAGAAGACTAGTGCTAATTTAGTACAGCGATTCTGGTGGCCTAACATGCTGGACGATGCAAAGAAGTACGTACAAACCTATCAGGTTTGTCAGCGGGACAAGCCGCATACTCAAGCTCCGCTTGGGTTACAAAAGCCTCTACCCATCCCTGCTGGTCCGGGGCAGAGTATCTCCATGGACTTCATGGACACCCTTTGCTAGACTAATTGTCATGCCGGAGACCGCCAGGACTGAACACGTCATTAAGTTATCCATGGATAACTGGGTGCGTGACTTTGGACTACCAAAGACAATCGTTAGTGATAGAGATGTGTGTTTCACAAGTGAGATGTGGAAGAAGACTGTTGAACAGATGGGCAGCCAGCTCCAAATGACTTATGGGAATCATCCCGAAGTCAATGGACAGGCTGAACAGATGAACCAGGTGGTGCAGCACCTGTTGAGGCATTACATTAAGCCCAGCCAGAATGATTGGGATGAGAAGTTGCCTCTCATCGCCAATCTGTACAATGACGCGGTACACAGCACCACCGGGGTCACCCCAAATCAGTTGCATCTTGGGTGGAAGCCTAGATCTGCACAAGACTTCCTCCTTACTAAAAACCGGCCTGTTGCAACTCCTGGAACCATTGAATTTGGTGTCCAGTATGAGAAATTGCTGCAGCAAGCTGTCGAGAACATCAAGAAATCTCAGGAAGCAACAATTGCTTATGAGAACAAACATCGTCGACAGTCCACATTCAGGTAGGGGAACGTGTTTGGGTTAAGGCTAGTGAACTGGGACAGGAGTTCGGCATCTCTAGGAAACTAATGCCTCAGTATTTCGGTCCCTGGGAAGTCCTGGATATTGTGGGTAGTGAAATGGATGGTCCCTCGTACGTTATCCATATCCCTGGTCACTTACGCACTTACCCTGTTTTTCATGCCTCAAAGCTCGCTCCTTTCGCTGAGACAGAACAGTTCCCATCACAGAGATTTATGCTGGCCCCAACCATGGATGGCCACGTGGACGTCGACGATATCCTGGAACACAGAGACATGCATGTTCCCAAGCCAACTGGCAGGGGTAGACCGCCTAAGCCTGCAAGGGAGTACAGAGTACGGATCAAGCATCATACGGATCCTAAGGAAGATCAATGGTTTACAAGGGAGGAACTAGTCAAGACAGCCCCTCAGATCGTGGCCGAGCATGAGAAGAAACTGAAGGGGAAGGCACCAGCATGAAGCATCTCAACGGACTTTCGAAGCTAAGGGGGATGGAATGCGAGGAACGAGCCCTCACAAGGGCCCTTATCGGGCAAACACATGTTTTGGGCATAGGCCCCCATCAAGCCAAGTGCCCGCCCTAAGTGAAGGCAGGCTTGAATATTCATCAAAGCCCGACACTCAACATTTTCATACATGGGTATTCAGGCTGTTGCAGCCCGCCAGTTGGTTGAGTGGATGCGTGAGCCTCACTAATCTGCGTTGTACAGTTGGCACAGGCCCTGGCAGTTGCGCCTGGGCACATACACACAAAGCAGGGCTGATACATCATGAAGTGGCCATCGGCCTATGCAAAAGCAATATTCTCGACGCACCTACCCCAGGGCCCTGCACGAATGCAATAAACGGCCCAAGTCCTGAGACTACATGTCGTGCCCAACTGCATAGGGCCCAGGCCCTCAACTGTAGTCTCGGGCCTGGGCGCAGGAACTGAGGCCCAACCGGAAGCTACTGGAAGCTTGCAGCTAGGCCACACGCAGCGACCAGGAGGCTGCCACTTCCATGTAGGAAGTAAGGCAGCCCAGGCGAGGCATTCTGGTCAGCGCAGGCAATGCGGTCACACTGCTGCGCTGCGGCCAGGGCACTGGCGAGGCACGTTGAGGTGAAGTGGGGCGCTGCAGGTCAACGGTCGCTGGCAGCCATAGCCGGGCTGCTGGGCGCTAGGGGGTAAGAGGGAGCGATCTGGTGGTCTTCAGGGAAGGAGGTGAGTGTGGGTTATCAAGGTCTGATGAGGGTGATGAGATACGTACCTGGTGCATGTAGAGAGGTCGGTTATGGTGTTGACATCATGTACATTGATCTTCGAGAGTCGAAGTGAGCCTGTTGCGTGAACACAGTTGTAGGAAGGATAGTCGAGTAGAGTAGGCTGGGTGTTGGGCGCCAGACAGAGAGGAGCGAATTTGGATACTATGTTGGTGTGGCCTGAGGGCTTGAACATTGGCTCATTACTTCATTGCGTTGGTCTATTTGGATGGATTATCGGTGCAATTGTGCTCTCTGCTTGTACACGACTACTTGGACATTTGTGTGATTTCGCAACTTGGTTTTCTGGTATATCGTGCACACTCATATTCCTTGCACACATAACTATATACATATATATATATATATATATATATATCGTCAAACAAAGCTGCCTGGTAAATCGTAGGCAGAGAGGGAGAAGAGGACAACAGACGAGAGGTTGTACAAACTGTTTCGTCGCAGTTTCACCAACTCATAATATATATATAAAGCATCCCTTCCCATCAACCGGCGCGTGTGTTCACTGGACAATTGACCAGATTTTAACAAATTTGTAACAATTGGCAGGACTCTCGAACTGCAACAACAACAGTTACTCGTCGCATGATTTCTCGTGGGCATTCCACACCAACCCTTGCTAAGGGGTGGACCTGCTACATGCGCTCCCGCTGACGTCACTATCCTGCGCATGTGACCCGTCTCTCTCAGTGGTTCCGACGCATCCTGTGATGGTCACTGCATCATCCTCTTTCTTCCTTGCGTCCACGTCGCTCTTGTCCTGCTCCTGCTTGCTCATTTGCTGCTACTACAGTTTCCACTGCAAATGTTTCCACTACTGCGGTTTCCACCGCTGCAATTTCTACACCTCCGGTTTTCACTCCGGCAGTTTCTGCTACTGCAGTTTCCACTACGGCACTAGTTTCTGCTGCTGCGGCTTCCACTGCTCCGGCTTCCATTGCTGTGGCTTCCATTGCTGCAGTTTCTACTTCTGGAATTCCCCGTAGTCTACCTTTTGCTGCTACAACTTCCTTTGTTGCATCTCCAACACAAAGAACATCACAGTCTCTCCGACACTCACGTCCTTTGTTTCAAAATTTTGCTCTATCCACCCCCCTTCCATCTCTTTCTGCACTTGGCCGCAGACGGCTGTGTTCCTCCTCGCCACCCCCATCTCCTCCACGGTCTCACTTGAGAACAGACTCTCCGGTTTCAATTGTTCCCATCGTTCCACCTTTGTTGTCAGGGACATGTTCATCTTTTGTTGGCAACACCACTACTCCTCTTGTTGTGTACCGTCTAGGACATGCGCGGCATTGCCACTAGTCTAGGGATCAGCAGCCTGTTGCTTTGTCTGGCCCAATTTTCTATGTGCCTGGTCCACAAGTTGTTGCAGTTCCTTTGTTCCAAACGGCAATATCCGCTCCTATGCCTTCTGTAGAGAGTCCAGCTGCCTGCAGGCAGCCACAACACCATGTTTTATGCCCTTCAGCGTTAGATATTCATGACTCACACGTACAACAGGATGTGGCCTCTGCCCAGAGTACACTCCCGATTCTAGGGACAGTCCCTACTCAGGATGCGGCCCCAAACGGCGAGGGATTGGAACATGATCTGCCCGGATTGCAGTTAACCCCACAAAGGATAGACCGCATGGGGGATCTGCAAATGGTCGACCATCATCATTTGGATGAACCATAGATTTGTGCCCCACCAAGCGCAGACCACATAGGTGATCTGCACATGACTGACCAGCAAGCACCCTAGGACATTTTGGGATTGCAACACCAGCTGGGTGATCTGCAAATTGTTGGCCAGCATCCGGCACACCAGCTTCAGATCCTCACCAATCTCTGTGGTTTGACTGCAACTAATATATGTCTTCACATTCCCCACCGCCCGTTTTATACACCATCAGACTTCCTTGCAATTACCCTTTGGCTTGATGCTGATCACCCCCGCCTACAGCCGAGGATTGTAATTTTATCAAGGAAAGAGGCTTTAAAATTGTTGTCCTACAAGTAGCAATGAGGGACAACCAACTTGAGCTACGCAATGCTCGAGGAGGTGAGTGGTTTAATTCTCCATCCCACATCTCTGCCTGCATTGTGCATGGACCTGGCCATTACATGGTCATCGTATGTACCTCTGACCACTGAGAGTTGTGGGACAACGGCATCATGGTCTATGCCATGACTGATGTTACGGAATTCTTACATCATGATGCTGTTTTTTTGCCACACCAAACTGTCCGCAATCTCTTTTGTGTTGAAGATCATCCCTCTGGCCCCATGCTGCAGCAAGACAACGTACCAACACTCTGCGACCTTCTCCTTTGCACTGCTACAGACACTGTTACACTCGTTTGTGGTCGCCATCATCTCTGTCACAATCACTACAATGACATGGTTTCTGCATCTATGTGTGCAGAGGATTGTCCCTCCGTTCCTGACTGCAGGCACCCTCCGCATCCGGACACTATATGTCCATTTTGCAGCCATGGACGCTATACTGAATGCATGGTCTTTTGTGGTGAGCATTCTTCCTTCATTTTGGCCTGCAATCGACATGTGCAAGGAATATGAGCGAGAGCGATGGACAATAATCCAAATTGCAAAATCACGAAGTAGTCCAGAGAGTCATGCACCAAACAGAAAGTTGCTGCTCTTCCTTATTGGCGCTTAGCGCCCAGCCTATCCTACTCAGCCTACTGTACCCTACACTACGTTCATGCAACAGGATTCACTTCAACGATGTATGTGATAACGACGCCCATGCAGACTGCTAGCATACACCAGGTACGTATCTCTTTCCTCTCACCTCACTCCTCGACCACCACAGTGTGCATTCCCGACACCCGAAGTCCACCACCTCCGACACCCACTCTGCGCCCAGCAGCCCAGCCATGGCCGCCTAGTGCCCACTACCGCGGCAGCGCCCCTCACCTCTTAGCGCTTGTGCGCACCCTGGCCAGCAGCGCTAGCGCCGCTGCTCGTGCATCAACGCAGCAGCGTGGCCGCATTGCCTACACAGGCCAGATTCCTCTGCTGCTGGGCGCTCACTTGGCTTTTAGGCATGTCCAAGTAGCCCACGAGGCTCCAAGTGCTTTCTGCAATCCCATCGGCTTCTGACAAGTGTGTGACGAGGGATCTGCATTCTCATTGGTCCGCGGCCGCTGCGTGACTTGTCGGCCTCTGGACGCATGTGCTAAGGGCCTCAACCTAACACGCAGCTGCTGCTTCTGGAAAGAGCCAGAGAAGGCTCACGTTGCCCTATAACCAACTGGTGTGCTGCAACTGTCTAGTACCCCACATACGAAAATGGCAAAAGTAGGCCTCTTGTGATTATGCAGGCCCGCCTTCGCTTAGGGCGGGCATGAGGCTGGCTGGGGGACTAGGCCCAGAACGTGTGGATGCCCGAGAAGGGCCTCACGAGGGCTCAAACCTCGCACATGCCATTTGTCCGGAGTGGATGTTGGGCATGCTCAATGCCAGCCGTTGTGGCAATCGTTGTGCTGAGAATGCTCAGCTAGGTCTTCCATGTGCCCATCTGCCTCATCCTTACAATGTGTGTCCTCTCTGTTGTCAAGCACAGACTCATTCTTGAGCCTTTTCTTATCCTTACTTTCCCTCTCTCGTTCTTTGTTTCTCTTCCCTTCATCTCTCTTCCTTGTGTTTGTCACCTCCCCTTTTACTATGCCTCTTTCTCACAGCCTACAAGTGGGTCGTTATGGCACACGCGGATGCAGGCAACTTGCAGCCTTGCGCTCAACTTCATCAACGTGGCAAGCCTTGTACGTGAGAGGCACGCTAAAGGGAGAAAGAAGGATGAGAAAAATGAATAGTTTGTGTGCCCCTCATCTTTGTTTTGTTTTCTTTATCTTTACCGTTGGTTTCGGAAAGTGCACTCTCGCTTGCATCTACCACAAGCAGAGGCCCCTCCCAGAGGCACCACAAATCACAGCAGTCACCACCGGTGTCCCACTCGGAGAGCGAACCCCGCGGCCCCACCTGCGCTGTTCTAAAGCAGCACGTGCATGGGGGGTGGAGGCGAATGCCTAGAAGAAGCAAACAAAAACAGATAGGTAATTATGTCCAGTATGCTGCTCGTTGATGCCGCAGACAGCTCCCCGCAGTCGCACCTACTCTGTTCTAAGCCAACGCGTGCATGATGGGTGGAGGCAAATGCCTGGAAGGAAAGCTAAAAAAAAATCACTTCCATAGATGCATGCAGAAATGGAAATAATAATAATAATAATAATAATCGAGCACCAATTGGAACCTTCCCTCCCCTGTATGGGGTGGAAGCGAATGCCTAGAAGAAGCAAACAAAAACAAATAGGTAATTATGTCCACTATGCTGCTTGTTGATGCCGCAGACAGCACCCCGCAGTCACACCTACTCTGTTCTAAGGCAAGGTGTGCATGATGGGTGGAGGCAAATGCCTGGAAGGAAAGCTAAAAATTAATCACTTCCATAGATGCATGCAGAAATGGAAATACTAACAATAATAATAATCGAGCACGAATTGGAACCTTCCCTCCCCTGTATCCGGCATCCTGATTGCATCAACAGAGCAGTGGTGTCTATGGTGTGCAAACGGCCCACCCCTGCAATGACTTGCTGGTTCCAGGGTGCCTGTAGCCTCACTATGACGAGGCTGTACCATAGTTAGGGACAGATTTGTAATTTTGTTTCGCTGAGGACTGACCGAGAGACCTGCCTGTATGGAAAATTCGTGAGGGACATATCTGTAAATATAGAAATATGGGCCCAGTACTAACTCGATTTTCCTACAGCTACCCTAACCGCGAATAGCAGACCCGGGCTACCCCTAGGACAGACAGGCCCTATGGGTCTACGCTGATAGACGGTCCTATAGCCTATAGCCCGGTAGGGAGAGGCCCTAGAGGCCGAAACTGGAACGGTACCGGTCGGTCAGTCAGTCCGGTCTAGGTTGGTCTAGGCTAGTCGTAGGTTATAGATAGGATGGGGACATTGGTCCTGGGCTTTTGGGCAGTTGACACTTCGTGGTGGAAGTTGCTGCGCACACGGTATCAGGCCGTAGTTGCTTATTCCCGTGGTGGAGACGGCGGACATAGCCAGACCTCCGGAGCGCTGACCAGACTGGGGTCAACGCTGTCCGCTCTGACTCTCTGGGAGTCAAAGCGGTCTGGGCTATTAGAGGTCTGATGCGTTGGAGCACGTGGTGCACTGCTGACCCTCCTCAGGAGTAGGGTCCCAGTGG